GGAGATGTTTTGAGGAATGTTGAAGGCTGTCTCCATTAATAGTGTTTGTTTCTCCTACTATGGAAGTCAGTGGTTACAGGTTGTCAACATTGTTGAAAATATCGGTAACCCTTAACATTAACATGAATGATGATGTGTTAATGTGTGAACTGAACATGACTTTATTATGAGTTAATGATGAGTAAAGCGTGCACTAATCAGCAAATAACTTTACCAACACCATGAGTCCATGTGTGAGTGACGGCGACTCTGTCAGTACATGTCATTAATGTATTAATCAACATTTAAGTTTAAGCTAAATGTAAACAACATGAACTCATGAGCTGTTGATGTATCATGACTTTACTGCAGGGGCACATCACTGTATCCTCAGCAGTTATAGGCATGGGTTAATGATGATGATGTGCCTCTCCAAGTACAGTCATGACAGATATACATGAACATGTCATGAGTTCATGATGCTTACATTAAACTAATGTGGGAATTAATATATTTATTAACAAACATTCATGTACTGACAAGTAATTAAGGTCGCCGTCACTCACACATGGACTCATGGTGTTGGTAAAGATATTTGCTGATTAGTGCACACTTTACTCATCATTAACTCATAATAAAGTCATGTTCAGTTCACACATTAACACATCATCATTCATGTGCTGTTATTGTCAAGCGTCGCTGTCTTTAGTGAAAAAACTGATGAAAAGTTTGAAAATGAAACAATGAACTGTGCATAGATAATCAATCAATTATTAAATCAATAAATCAATCAATAAATCAGTCCAACAGAGCCAACTTACATCAGGTTTATTCACTTTTATAAAATAACTCCTCTCCTGATCAGTGTGAGAGCTCAATCTGCACATCTACAGGAGATTTAATCGAGCTTGTTTAAACTCTCAGACTGAAAATATTCATACAGCAGAAAACTGAGACTGCAGATCCTGACAAAGTGAACATCTAAACTCTGTTTATTCCGCTTTCAGATGTGCACACACACACACACACACACACACACACACACACACACACACACACACACACACACACACACACACACATGTTGTGGTCAGTTGCGTCTCCTGCTTGATGACATTAACACTGAATAATGATGATGATGATGATGATGATGATGATGATTAGAGCTGATCGCATCTGCTCTCTGTCCTCTTCATCAGCGCTAATCGATGACCGGAAGCGGCTCGTCCACCTTTGATCGGCGGGTTGTGCGCAGGCTGATCCTCCTCGGTTGTGCTCATAGAAGCTCTTTTGTTGCGGATCTGCGGCCCGGATCGGTTTCATCTAATTGCGGGTCTCTCTGTAATCGAGCACACCGTCAAATTCGGTGGTTTGCCGTCGCGCAGTTCTCTTTAAGTGCCCGGACAAGGACAAGGAGAGATCGTGTCCGATTTCAGGCGCGTTCGCAATCCGTCCTGATTCCCGCACGCAGGCTCGCCGGTGACCGCAGCGCCGCGCATTATTCCAGCGCACAAAGAGCTGGGCGGCCACAATGCGCCTTTGACCGGTGAAACCCGAGAGCCTAAAAGCTTCTCCTGAGGCCGGAGCAAAAGCGCACTGGAGCTGCACCTCTCCGGCAGTAATGCGCGGCCGGCCAGAGCGCGCGGAGACGCGGTGAGGAGCGCACGGGCTCAGGACTCTCCGCCGCAGGAACTCACGGAAACTAACGGGTCCTGAAGGTGTAACGCGGCGACGGACGCGCTCGGAGCATGAGCTCAGTCCACCGGCGGTTTACCGACAGCGATCGAGCATGGTGGAGCACGGCGGCACCGACAGCATGTGGCTGAACAAGTACAACCCCGCGGCGGCCTCCAGCGCCTCCTCGTCGTCCTCCTCGGACGCGGAAAACAAACTTTTCTCCAGGCTGAAGGTGAGTCTGACCAAGAAGTACCCGCAGAAGAACGCGGAGCTGCTGAGCGCGCAGTACGGCACCAACCTGCTGCTGCTCGGGGTGTCGGTGATGCTGGCGCTGGCGGCGCAGAGCGGCCCGGTGAAGGAGGAGCACCTGCTGAGCTTCATCACGGTGCTGATGCTGGTGCAGCTCGTCTGGATGCTCTGCTACATGATCCGGAGGGAGCGCGAGCGCAGCCCGGTGCCGGAGAGAGACGCGCACGCGGGCGCCAGCTGGATCCGAGGTGACCGACCGGAGAGCCGTTTTACCGGTCATTAGAGCAGCGCTGAAGCCACATCTGTTCACCAGTCAGCCAAACACGAGTCTATACGGGGGAAACTGCATATACAGTGCTCAGCACACACTCAGAAATAAAGTACAGGATCTGTCACTGGAGCGGCACCTTTAGAAAATGTCCACTTTTGACCCGAACAGCTCCTGCAAAGGCACAAATGTTTACTCCTAAAGTGTTTAAATGTGTGCCTCACAGGAACTTAAAGGTACAGAAGAGGACTTAAAGGTACAAATGTCCACCAGTGTGGTACTAAGTGCACCATTTGAAAAGGCACCACCCGTGACAGAGTTTGGACCTTCATTTGTGAGTGTGTCATTGAGTTCAGCCCATTCTGACAGTGAATATTTCCTCCGTTTCTCAGTGAATATAATCAGTGTATTTTAGTGCATTTAAACAAAACAGATTTATTTATTGCAGTAATATTTTAGTCACAGAACATGTTTAAAAATGTAAAGACAATACAAATAAATTAGAGCAAACTTTTGCAAAAGTAAATGACAGACTACACAAATTCAGCTCAATTCTTCATTTTCTTTCTCCTCTTGATTTTTGCTCTTTGATAAATCAGTATTTAATGTTTTTCTCGGACATATAAATGTGTCTGTGCTAGTGTTTGGAGGGTTATTGTGAGTTATTGAGTTAGATCAGCTCCAGATTTGGCTTCAGCACTGACTCATCTGCTGTATCTGCACACATATAATACTGCAGAGCTTCCTGTTGAACATGTGGATTTAATAGAGAGATGTGTGAGGGGAACTCGTATATGCTCAGCGCTGTATCTTCTGCTGCTTTCACTCAGTTTCAGCATTCACACATTCACAATCACAGCTAATCTACATTTTCTGCAGTTTTTTGTAAACTGTTTTTGGTAAATGAAGCGCATTTTGTGTTGTATTTATTTAAAAGCAGAGAAAATGACGACCGTGACTAGGCAGGGTCAGTATACATTTCTGATAACCTTATCACGGTGTTGTGATGACTGCTCTCAGATCAGCTCTTCTGAAATGTCTGAGTAGAAAACAACAACAATCTGTTTTATTTTCGGACACATTTACAATGTTTCGCAGAAGTGAACATGTCAGGCTGAGTCATTCATATAAATCAGAGGCTTCTGCTGTCTTCATGAACAGATTTCTTTACAACACATTTAAAACACACATAAACACGGTACATATACAGTACACAGTAACAGCACAGTACAACAGAACATTTTACAGTTTTAAAAACAGGACTTTCCCAAACCGCGGTAAACCTGCAAACCGGTGATGATCCCGAGCCGAATGTCAGCTGACTCTCAGACTGGGCTTCTCTTGAGCCGGACTGAATCTGCCCACATTTACTGCTGAGAATTTTGTGAAGAATCTGTGGATTTATGCTGAATGATTTTAGGAATATTGCATATATAAAATGAAAAGTAATACCCTTTAAACTTATATTTAATGTTTACAATGCAAATGCAGGTTGATCCACACATGTGGTAAACAAAGCCCGTCTCTCACATCACATCTCTACTAACAGAGGAAACAGGACTGCACACACTGCACTGTACATGACCCAGATCAGCACTTGAAGATTACTGTTATTAGATCACAATACTATTAGTCAAATTAATAAAAAACTGAATGAAAATAAATGATCACACAATTACACAAGAGAACACACAGACTCCATGATGGGCTACACACTGCACAAATGTGCACACACTGTGTGTAAACCCTGAGCTGTCAATGAGAAACGAGAAACGCTTCAGAGCAGATCACTGAAACATAAAGCCTCTGATTAAATGTAGCCCAGAATGCAGTTCAGCACCGCTGATACACACAGAAGAACTGCACATCCTCAAACATGGAGACTGTTCATGAACACACATTTACAGTGTCATTCCTGCAGTGCTGCTGCTGTCGGTGTGTGTGTGTGTGTGTGTGTGTGTTCTGAATGAGAATATCAGTGTGTTTGCTGAATCTCTTGGTGTGTGAGTTCTGGAGATGAGCTGAAGTGTTGGTAATGATGAACACTGTGAACAGATCTGAAGCTGCAGTGCTGCACAATGCTGATAGCGGCTGGTGAATAATGTGTGTGTGTGTGTGTGTGTGTGTGTGTGTGTGTGCAGGTGGTCTGACCATGCTGGCTCTGCTGTCCCTCATCATGGACGCTTTCCGCATCGGGTATTTCGTGGGCTATCACTCCTGCATCTCGGCTGCGCTCGGGGTCTACCCCATCGTGCACGCGCTGCACACCATCTCTCAGGTACGGTACGGTACGGGGACTTGACTTTAATAAAGCGGCTCAGCTGCTCCTGCTGAACTCTGGTGTTGGAGCAGTTTTCTCTGTGGTGTTTATATGATCTCCCGCATTTATTTCTGCTTCTGAATGTCATTATGGGACCTTGATCTCTCCTAAAGTGTGTGTTCTGCACGTGTGTGTAGTGTGTGTGCAGTGCTGTATAGTGTGTGTGTTGGTGTTGTAGATCACACTACAGTCAGTCTGTAATACACTGCAGAACATTTACTCTTATTTTACACTCTTATTCCTCTACATACTGTATTATACATCATATGACTATGTTCATCCACTATAATGTCAGTAAAGAGTTGAGTTTAACACCAGCAGTGGACAGAGCAGAGATCAACATCCCATAATGCAGTTCAGCACCGCTAATACACACACACACACACACACACACACACACACACACACACACACACACACACACAC